GCCTGTAAAGGACGTGAAGCGACCATGACCAGAAAGGCCAGCAGAAGGCTTTTTTTCCTGGTCATAATCTTCCTGCTAATGCCTGTGACCTGAACACGGAGAGGAGCACCGACTGAGACATATAAACCCTTAAACCAAAGACTGAGGAGGCTCGATCAGCAGGTTTGTTATGTTTAAACATACTGTCTTTAAAAATATCATATCGCATGTATCTGTAACACGATTCCTCCAATCCTAGTTCAAAAGATTTCAACAGATGACCTTCACCCATCTTCAGAGCATTGCTGAAAACTACAACATTTCAAATAACATAGACTCGCGATTCCAAGTTTTGAGTCAGCAGTTTGAGAGGATCTCCAGAGAGCTCCGTGCATTCAAGGAAACGACAGATCACAGCCTGAATTCCCTCAAATCCTGGACTAAGAGTCTACAGAAAAAGACTAAGAGGCTTGAGTCGAGCCTAGCAAACATGACGAGAGCTCTGAGGGAAAACAACCATCTCAACCTTAGACAAATCCAAAAGCAGAGAACGGGGTTGTCCGACTTGTCCCACAAGATCCAGAAACTGCAAAGTCACATTGGCTCTTTGGAATCCTTTAAGAATCAGGTTCAACATGGAATGCGGGACCTTCAGGCCTCTCTCAAAAGGCATCAGACCCAGATAATGAAGTTGGAGAGTCAGATGCAAGGGTTGTTCAAGATCATTCCAACTTCCAAGGAAGGAGGATTAGATCCTCTCAATTCTATCAAGAAGCAACAAGGTGTGGTCCTGAGGCATGTCCAGCCTAAACCGAAGTCTGAAGAATACAGAATGAGAGATCGATTGCGTTCTGGGCCCACCGAACAACCACAGACATACAAAATAAGAGACAGACAACAGCAGCTCTGGCAGAGCACCGTACAACCAACAGTTCAGGCTGAAGAGAAAACTTTTCTGCTTCCACTTCGACACAAAATCCCACATATTCAAACCCCAAAGGAAGAAGCCAGAAGTAAGTATTTAGAGTGGTTTTGTGTCTGAAAATGAAATTGAAATGCATTTGTATCCACAGTTTAGACTGAAAACCTTAATGTCACTGTTTACCAAATGTAATTTTCAGTCATTCAAAAACGATTTACTCAGAATCTCCAAGAATCCAAACAGGCAAGTACGCAAGCATATAGACCTTAATCAGATTAGACGCCATATTGAATTTAATGTGGATGAAAACAAGGCTGCTTTACAATGGCAGGCACTGTACACAAAAGTCACGTAATTTTCACAGCTTTCAAAATTATTTTTAAAAACTTTGTCTACCATTTTTTTAGAAAGACGTTTTGTCAGCTGGACAATCAGTATATTGTTAAATAACAATGCAATCGATTGAACACGCTGCACTTCTATCCCTCACAGGCTTGTTTCCATTCCTATTAAAAATTCAATATGGCGCTACCCTGAAATATATGGTCTGTGACACGTTTTCATTTGACAATTTTGATATTTTTGCCTATTATAACGGTCAGATCTGCAACAATACGATGACAAAGGTAGACAGAACATTTTCTTTTTTACTTTATGCCAAAATGTAAAGTGTCTAATAATTTTGTCTCTCATTCTCAAAGTTTGCAATGTGGGTTCGATGCTTCTGTTCCCGTCTGCTTCCGCTGAAAATTGTCACCTTCCAGAGGAGTTTCCGAACAGGGATACATGAACTCTCTATCTACACTTGGCTAAAAGTAGGTGCCAAGTATCTTGGAACAATTCTTTCTTACGCCACAGAAAACAATGACAATATGCTTGTTCTCTATGGTCGGAATTCTGGCATACTGGGCGTTATGGATTTTGTGATTGGAGATCCAGCGTTTATGCATCATCTGGTCCTCCATTGAAGGCAGGTTTTGGTATTATTTGGACCGTCATCTCATATCTACTGGATCCAAGTTCCAGAAAGGCTATGAGATCCCTCCTGGTGGCTCGATGGTCCTGGGGCAGGAGCAGGATTCGATTGGAGGGGACTTTGATGAAGCTGAAGCATTTGTGGGCAAACTGGCTGGCTTTGCATTGTGGACTAGGAGCCTGAGCCCTGTGGAAGTGTCTGGACTAGCCTCTGGCAAAGAGGTGCCACGAGGAGCAGTGCTCAGCCTGGATGATGTTGTAGCGAATCAGCTCAAAGGGGAAATATGAATAATTAATCATAACTAGTTATAATTAATTATAAATATTTAGATCCGCTGTAAGTATTTACTTGACCTCTCAGGGTCAACTGTCTGTCAATTCTAAGAACGTTAATTTCCTGGTTAAGGGAAATAACTTTATTACTGTACAATTCTACACAGAGCCTGTAGCATAAATCTGCATGATTAAGGGACTCCAGTTATGAGCAAACAATGAACAACGTCAAGTGTGATACAAGTAAGACTTTATGAACTACATAAACACTTAAACTAGTCTAACATACACCTACACATACACATACACACACACACACACACACACACACACACACGCATACAGTTGGTATAGGAAAAGGGTTAAAGCTTAAAGGGTGCCACGAGGAGCAGTGCTCAGCCGCTACAATGTAGACCAGATGTTTGGCTCTGTTCAACATATTACCTGTGAGTGTCTGGAGCACTGCATGTAAAGGCACAACAGAATGAGCCAGAAAAACAATTCTGTATTACACATTATTTTTGTATTTCCATTTATTTTGATAAAACAGCAGTTTATGTATTCATTTATCATATTTACATATTTGGGCTTATGAAACCTTTTACTTTTCATTTTAACTATAAACTTTGCTTTAAATAAACATGCATTTTATTTTTGTTGGTCTATGCAGTCTGCATTCAGTCAGCACACAGCGTGAAGGCCACTATTTCTTGTTTAGCAATCAATTAATGATTCAAGGAACCTTAAATTGTGTTTTTTTTTTCAGACTTCATATTAAAGGAATGCTGTAAATATAGCAGTAATCAGACCACAAGAGTAAAAACACTACATTTATTCATACTGTCTGCCATACTGAGTTCCCAAAATCATAACAAATCAGTGACACTGACACTGTTCAATATCAAATTAGTATTTTTAAATGATTTACAAGCAACTGAATTTATCACAAATATGCTCTATGAAACAAAACAACTCTCAGTAGCATTGGACAAACTGCAGTGTTTTTGTTTTCTTTTTATGAACATTATTACATTATTGTTCACCGTATAATTATTGTAAAGTCAAAGCATAATTGCCATTATAACCTAACAGTTGCCAAAGCAAAACGTTCACATTGAAATAAATACATATTGAATGAATATGAAAAATAGGGGAGCGCGGGGCACAAAGTAACGCGGGTAAGTTGTAACACACGTGGTTTAAATATTTCCACACATGCTAGCATAACCAAATTTACAGCATTTACTAGTTACCATATCAACATTATATAGAGAAAAAAAGTGCACCAAAATTCAAAAGTGTTTTGAAGATATCGCTGAACATTTATTTTACCATAGTAAAATTATATTTCTGGCTTAAGTAAATTTTTCATCTCAGTTTTTATTACTCATTTAAAATGAAACAAATCTGCTATTATTTTAATCTCCAATCTGTTATTTATCAGTTTAAGTAATTTTTTAATGCTTCGCTAACTATCAGAAAAGCAGTAACCGGTTAAATTCCAGTTGCGCAGATGGGGCACGTTGTAACACTGCGTTACAATGTGCCCTGCCGTGCTATTCTATGACATTAGCGATGTAATTCACACTATTTACTTTAATAAATTTTAATGATAAACGACGAGAAACAGGTGAATAAATACTGACAGTCAATGTTTAATGTTAAGAAATGATTATTTCAAGACATGTAAAGCATTTTGGCTCGTTTATGTCAAGTCAAGTCAAGTCACCTTTATTTATATAGTGCTTTTAACAATACAGATTGTGTCAAAGCAACTGAAGTGTGAAATTACTGTGGATAAAAAAATTATACTCTGAACCCCATGTGGATTTACACAATTTGAGAAAGTCAAAAAGTGTTACTTTGTGCCCCGCTCTCCCCTAATATTTAATCTTTTTTTTTTTTTTACATGATTGTAAGCTTTAGGGAGCATTTGTCTTGGAAAAACACTAAATGTATAATCTATATAATACAATACTACAGGTAATTCATGCCCTGGATATAATACAGTATAATACAGTAGCTATATCGGGGTAATACCCTTCCTGAATTCATACAATACAATACAATTCTTCGAGGTAATTCCCTCTTTGATCAGAGCATCCTAGTCTGCACTTTTCTGAACATTCAGAAATGTTGGTAACACTTAATTTTAAGGACCAATTCTCACTATTAACTAGTTGCTTATTAGCATGCATATTACTAGCATATTGGCTGTTTATTAGTACTTATAAAGCACATATTAATGTCTTATTCTGCATGACCATATTTTGGATCCCTTAACCCTACCCCATACCTAAACTTAACAATTACCTTACTAACCATTAATAAGAAGCAAATTGGGAGTTTATTGAGGAAAAAGTCTTAATAAATAGTGAATATGTGTTCCCTATTCTAAAGTGTTACCGAAATGTTCACCCCTTCTGAGGCCATTAATTAATACATTTCTATCACATGTTCATCATACATATATATATACATTGGATATATATAATAGGATATATACAAGGAAAATAAATGTTTGCAATGTAACAATAGGTTAGTGTGTGGAGAAACCTGCTTGTTGGAAACCGTCATTATTTTAGCATGTCATTATTTTATTAGTAGGCCTAACTCTAATGGCGGAGAAATATGCGATGTTTAACAGAGTTAATATAACCTAAAATATCAGATACGACAGTTATGAGCATGTTTTAACCCTTATAACAGAACAGAGCCATCTCAGTCACTACCGCACGTCATTATTGACACAAAACCCAGAATTGTTCAACTGTAGAACTGTGAACTACAATTCCCAGACTTCCTTTGAAAACGAATTCTCTGTTGAACCTTTCCGCTTTCCGTACACTAGTCACGGGTTCGCTTATGATTGTTAGTCATGGGGAAGAAGTGTTCGCAGTAGTTCTACAGTTAGCAGGTTTGATGTGTAATTAATGGTCAAATAAGACATGGCCAACATCGCGAAGAAAGTGTCATGGTCTGGCCGAGGCGATGATCGCGGAGAGAGAACGCCACTGCTGAACGGAGACGAGGAGGTGAAATACAACAGACAGGTACCAGACACGCCATACAGACTACAAAAATTATATATATAGGACTCCGCAATCAATCTGAAATGTTTTGACTTCTGCTTATATTAAATACTTGCCCTGCTTATTATATAAAGCATGCTTGTTAAGCATGCAAAGGTAGTGTGCCTACTTGCAGAAAGCATGATAATACACTTGCACTAACTTCTTGTCATCACGTACAACGTTGAAATGAAAGCAAAATAGTTCTTAAACTTGTTATTAGAGGATAAACCCTTGTGTTTCTTGTAAACCCTAGTAAGGACTTGTATTTGTAGCCTACCTAATGGCAAGTTGCAGCCAGTTGTGCAACTCTGGATATTTTGATTTTTTACTTCCCCTTTCTTTTAACCCGTTTATTCTGCTAAGAAACTGCAAGCACCTGTGATCCTTAGACCTACATTGAATTGGTTGATTCTTGATTACAGTCAGGTCCATAGCTAGGAATTCGGGCCCCCCTTACTGTATTGTGGGGCCCTTTTGGCCAGGGAGCCCCTATATATATTAAAGATCTTTTATAAAAAAGATTTTAAGAGAGATATTAAAAATGAGTAGACTCTTGATAAATGTAATGTATTTGGTTCATAGTTATCCGGGGGAGGTATATTTCATATAGGCAGGCTGAGCACTGTGGACCTTGAGGAGGAAATCACACCCGAAGAGGTAAAATCTATTTTACATCAATTCTTTTTTTATATATTTTTTTCTAAAGACGCGTACAAACAAAACAGTACTGTAAGTATACACACAAAAGCCTATACTCTGGTCCAGAAAAGTGCTTCACTGTTTTGACACATAGCTATAGTTTCAGTTTTAATTTCAAGGTGTTTGTGGTTTTGATGCTTTGAATGTTAGAATAGAGCATGAGTGTAGTTTAAATCTCTCCTCAAATCAGCCATTTTGGCTAGAGACCAAAGGACCAGGAAAATGCCTGACTCCATCGGCCTCTTCAGCCTGCACTTTGGAAAAATAATTTATTGAGAAAATGCATACGATGTACTTGATCATTTGTGAGTTTATGTTTCCAATGTGTTGGCATGAGGTCACGCTTGCTCATGGCTGCAAAGAGTTGATGTAGCTAAATAAAGTGTTGTCCTATTCTGATTGCATGAGCATAGAATGACTGTATTATATAACCTTGATGAATGTCGGCCGGGCAACTCTGAGTCTGTTTTTCCCGAAACACACAGGACATTGTGAGAAGTCGACCAAAAGAAATCCCTCACAACGAAAAGCTGCTGTCTCTCAAATTTGAGGTAATTGAATCTCGACCTGACCTTCAGTCACCCTCTTTCAATTGAGTGTCTGTTAAAAATGCTTTGAAAAATCAGTAGGTTTTCTGTAAATGAACTTAAAAACCACAGACAAAATGCACCATGTACACTTTAAATAAACTGTCTTTGAAGAGCTGTGATGTAAAATGTCAAACCTAGTGCATTTTGTGTTTCAGAGTCTTGATTATGATAACAGCGAAAATCAGTTGTTTCTGGAGGAAGAGAGGCGGATGAGTCACATGGTCAGTAAAACCATCAGAGATTTTCATTAGAGGTGGAGATGACAAGCTCAGTTTAATGGTTATCTTGGATCATGTGCGCTTCGTAATCTGTTCATATAAAGGCACTTTCTGAGTTTACAACCATAACAGTTGATGGAGACCATTGAAAGGAATGTGTAGTTTGCTATTTAAAATTAGTCTTAAATTTAAGGGGCATTTCACAATATGTTGTGCTATTTTTAAATGGTTGGTTTATGTACACATTCAATCAACTCTACCCCTAAACACAATGTTTTTTTTTTGTTCAATCACATTATTTTCTTTATAGTAATTAATAATTATAATGCTAAATCAATGCTTTAAACTGACAACACAACTAATTCAGAGTAATAATACATGGCTCAAAACTTAAGCACCTTCTCAAAACAGTTCTGAAGCATGCTTTTTGTTTATGTTTGCTGACAGACACCAGTGTTTCCCACAGACTTGCAAATGTTAATTCATTCTACGCCAGCAGGAGATGCTGTTGGAGCGGAGATATAGCGGTTTCCCCGGTAACGGCTGTAATCAAATAAGCACTGGGACTGCGCATTCCACAACAACGCTTAGCTGCCCGCAGATGCGCCTTGCCTATAAATCGGCCTAATTTGCAGCACAATCGGCCGATGCCGATTAATTACAAAATGCCAAAAATCGGCCGATTAATCGGCCGGCCGATCAATCGGTCGACCTCTAATTAACACTTTTGTGTTTATTTATTGTAACCGTAGGGTTTCAGATGTCTGGAGATCAGGAGATGGGTGATCTGTGGTCTGATTGGGTTTCTCACTGGTCTCATCGCATGCATGATAGACATTGCTGTGGAGAAATTAGCTGGTTATAAGTACTTTGCAGTCAAACTGAGTATCCTTTCTCTGTCATTCATCTATTTTACAGCCTTCTAATATGATCAGTTTCTTATGTAAAGCATGCCAAAAATTGTATTTGCTCCTTCGTTAATTAAAATGAGCCGATACACTGCAGTTTGTGAACAAGTTTTCAAAACATAATTTCATTTCATGCAATCAGTTTACATATGTGTTAACACATTGTGAAAGTTTGTGTAATCTATTTCCATTGTTACTACATGAATAATTTGGCCGTAAACGGCTGCATGGCAATCCAGATCCAGACCAACATGGACAGAATGAAAATTGAGCATTATTTATTTTTTTTATCTAATATCGTCTGTCCATGTAGTTTATTTAATTTAGCACTCAACAAAATTAAAATAGGATTTTTCTTTATTTTTATATTCCAGGAAAAAATATCAGTAGCCAATGTTTGGTACAAAGACACAAATTTTATTCATGGTATTATTAGGCATGTAATAATATAGCTCAATATTTTTAATGCTGTGCTAAAGTACAGTCAGACAAATCAACTTATTTAATGAAAAGGCTTCATTTAATTGCATAGAGTTTTCTTCAGTTTAATTAAGTGTGATTGTGTGTTATTTATTTCTCACTGGCTTCAGAGTTTCTTAAACTAGGCGTTCAGACATTGAGAAATACACAGAGCTTGGTGGCCTGTCCATCTCTCTCATACTGTGGGCAGTGCTGAACTCTGCTTTCGTGATGTTTGGCGCTATCGCTGTTGCTTTTGTAGAGGTGAGTGTTTTCTTCCAGTCAGAATGAGATTTCTGTGGTTTAAGCTGCGCGCATAAGAGACTTTAAACATTAAAAAAAAAAACTTTGATTGGTAGAGTACATTGTGTACTGTGTAGTGTTTAGTAAGTAGTTGTGTATTATTTTACTTTGAACATTATTAAAAATTCAGTCTGTTTTCTCACAGCCCATTGCCGCAGGAAGTGGAATCCCTCAAATAAAATGTTTCCTGAATGGAGTGAAAATCCCTCGTGTTGTTCGATTAAAGGTGATGCCTTTCATAGCGTAAGCTTCTCTATAAGACAAACAAGGTAGCTTGATTTTTAACTGAACAAAAAGGTAAAAAAAAAAAAAAGATATAGTTATCATAGATGTAAATATCTATTTATCTATATAAGATAAATAGATATTTTTCAATGATAAAATTAAAATTTGTATCTATATTCACAGACTCTGGTGATAAAGGTCTTTGGTGTGATCTGCTCAGTTGCTGGAGGTCTCGCTGTTGGAAAGGTACAATATTAAAACCATCAACTGGGGTTAATGGGACTTATTGAAAGCTAACTGATGGACTCAACAGCTGCTCTTCTCTCACAGGAAGGACCCATGATTCACTCGGGAGCAGTGGTGGCTGCAGGAGTATCTCAAGGAAGAAGCACTTCACTGAAAAAAGATTTTAAGGTCAGTTTTCTGTACTGTTAAGGTCTGCTTGAATTTTACAGTAAACATAGAGCCTGACGTCACGTTTCTGTGCCTGCAGATATTTGAGTATTTCCGCAGGGACACAGAGAAAAGAGACTTTGTCTCGGCAGGAGCAGCGGCTGGAGTCTCTGCTGCCTTTGGAGCCCCTGTTGGTGAGACATGCAGAAAATAATTTCAAATATCCATATTTTTACATTGGATAGAAGCAAGTTGTGCAAAGCCAGTGCCAAATATGTTATTATTATATTGTTAAAGCATATTACAGTAGCTGATACACGACTGAGTTGTAGCTATAAGTGAAAATCCATCATTTGGTCCTCTGAATAAAAGCTCAAAGACTGTTGAACTGCCCTGAAATGATTCTTGGATAAGATTGTTCAGGACCATCTTTGATTCATTGTGGTTTTTGGCACAGGTGGGGTTCTGTTCAGTTTAGAGGAAGGCGCGTCTTTCTGGAACCAGATGTTGACATGGAGAATTGTGAGTGATTGTGAATAATAGTTTGGCTCCTTATTAAAGAGCACTGTCTGTTTCACTCAGTTTCAAAGGTCAGCTGTTTGAACCCCTGATCCTGCTTTGCTTTTGATTTAGTTCTTTGCTTCAATGGTCTCCACCTTCACACTGAATTTTTTCCTGAGTATTTACCATGGGAAGCCTGGAGAACTGTCCAGCCCCGGTCTCATTAACTTTGGCCGCTTTGACAGTGATGTAAGTTCTGTCTCTATCTTCTTCAGTTACTCTGACAAGGTCTCTTTTTTACTCTATCGCTTTGTTCCAAGCAACGGGGGCATCCCGGGGCACAAAATTCGCAGGGTAGGAGGGGGTAGTGACGCTGGGTGTAACTAAAAAGGTGCCATTGTCCGGTGAGGTCCGGTTGGGGAGTTACGGAACAGTCTCATATCGCATAATCATAAACTATTTATCTCCTGAACTGCAACTTTCTTTACCACGCTATTCAGCGTAAAGGCTGATGACTCGCCTGCCGTGAATGGTTTGGCACGAAATGCAGTGGCACCGTCTCACGCCTGTTTCACACATACTCCGTCTGCAGTGCGTATGTGGTCCATGTGCGTTATGTATGCGGTGCAGAAGCAGCACGGACTCATTGTGCTTTCACACAGGATGCGTTTGCAGTCCGCTACTTATCCGCGGCTGTTTAAGCCACAAACACAACATTTATCCATTATTTTGATTTCAAATCGTAAAAAAAATAAATGAAAAGCTTTTTCAGCATTGTGATACTCTTTTATCACAGTACAGTAACAATTTAAATCTAAAACATTAGTTTAAACTCAATAAATATAAACAACGTATTATTCATGCATTTGACTTCTAGGTTTGTATAATAAGTTGCTCAAGCAAGTGGCAACACATTTAAACAGCATACAGCCTACTTTTCTTATGTCAGACATAATTTTACAAACAGCGTGAGTGAATCACCGCTAGACTTGTGCCGGTATTCGGTAATGCGATATATCACGGTAATGAATATGCACGATATTGTTTGTTTAATTGTACAGGATTTCCGGGAGACGTGCGTCACGTTCTATAAGGTTCCGCCTGGAAACAAAAATGCTGTGACACCAAACCCCCTCTTTGAAAGTGTTTTGATTCTTTATTGTTCGGTCACACTTTACATTAGGGCTTCATTAGTTAACATTACGAATAGAGGTAGCATAAACGTGAATCAGTCACTAACCGACAGCACTCGGGAGGCTAAGGACTGAACGTCCAGCTTGTAAAACCTGGCGAAGGTATTCTGGGAAGACCAGCCGGCTGCAAAGCATATATCTTGAATAGACATACCTCTCGACCACGCCCAGGAGGAGGCGATAGCTCTTGTTGAGTAGGCCCTAATGTGCAAAGGGCATTCCAAACCTTGCCTCGTATAAGCAGCCGTGATAGCGTCAACAATCCAGTGGGCAAGTCTCTGTTTTGACACGGCCCAGCCCTTCGCACAACCACCGTAGCACACGAAAAGCTGGTCAGATTGCCGAAAGCTCCAGCGCGTGCCTACCGATCGATTGCCCGCCCAGCGGGGAACGAAACGAGGCAATAGCAGCCACATAGACTTTCAGTGTTGATGGTAGAGATCCACTATCCAGTCTGTACTGTAGAAATCGCATAATATCCGACACGGAGCAAGCAGCCGGGTTTATATGAACATCACGGCACCATTTCACAAACACTCCCCATTTTAGAGCATACAAGCGCCTCGTGGAGGGCGCCCGCGCCTCCGAGAGCCAGCGGTAATATCTTGATTGGAGGAAACGCATACAGCCTGGCTACCAGCCAGTGCGATGTCAGAGTGTCCCCTTCCAACGGGGAGTGAGACAGGGAGAAGAACAGCGGGCAGTGCGCATTCTCGCTTGTGGCGAACAGATCGACCTCCGCTCTCCCGTAGCGGGCCCAAATCATCCGAACCGACTCGGGGTGCAACCTCCACTCTCCTTCAGGAATCCCTTTCCTCGAAAGCATGTCCGCCCCGCGATTCAGGAGACTGGGTATGTGTGCTGCTTTGATGGAGAGAAAGTGACGGTCCGCCCATAGCAGGAGATTCGCTGCCTGCATTTACAGAGCCCTGGAGCGTACGCCTTCTTGGTGATTTATGTACGAGACCACAGACATGTTGTCGGTGCGAATCAGTACATGCCGCTGTGGCCGAAAATCCTTTAGAACTAAGAACACTGCTTCCAGCTCCAAGCAGTTTATGTGCCACCGGCTCTGAGGTTCTGACCACGGCCCCGAAGCCGGCATGCCCTCGCACACTGCTCCCCAGCCGTGAGTCGATGTGTCCGTCGTGACCACAACGCGCGACGTCACCAAGTTCAGGGGAACCCCCAGGCTGAAGAGATCTGGGTTGCGCCATGGCTTCAGCGTTTCGATGCAGTCGCGGGAGACTGCGGCCCACGCCGTCCAAGGGACTTGAGATTTCAGCCATAATTGCAGCAGGCGCATGTGTAGTAAGCCCAGATGACATACCGCTGAAGCAGACGCCATGAGTCCCAGCAGCCTCTGAAATTCCCTCAAGTGAACAGAGCTGCCCAGTCTGAAATGGCACAGGGAAGACAAAATGGCCACCGAGCGCTCCCGAGAGAAGCACACTCCCAGATATGTTATATAGGACTCTCTCTATTGCTCCTTTTTCGAGCAGACTGCATACCTCTTGTCTCAGAACCAGGGCATTTCGAGGCAATGTTAGAGACTGCACCACGCCATTGAAATGGGGTGGTCTGCGTCTGAATTGAAAGATATACCCACGCTCTATCACACAGAGTAGCCAGCGCGAGATTCCCGGAATAACTTCCCATGCTCTCAGGAACTGACATAGCGGCTTTAGCGGCTTGGTCGTTGGAAGCGCCGGCGAGTGCTGCGCGACTATAATCTGTGTGGGCGGCGGCTCTGCACTGCTTTGAGGCGGGGTGAGCGGCACCGCATTGACCGAGTGAGGAGAAAAAAGCTCTTTTTGTGAGAATGTATGCATTTTTATTGATAAACATCCAACACATGAACTTGTGGCGCTTGGGAGCCGAGCTACTCGCGCACTCTCCTCCTCTCTTCAGACAGTCAGGATGACAGCTTAGCAGCCGGCGGCCGGCAAGAGTCACGTCGCGGGCTCCTCCGTTGGCCGTGGCGTTTCCTCCCGGGACCCCACGCCTTTCTCCGGACATCCGGCTCCTGGCGAGGAGCGGTAGCAGACACCGCCGCGGTCGCTGGCATGGGGTTAACCCTCCGTTGGGAAGAGCCAGGTGCCGACGAGGATCTGGATCTCGCCGTCTGCTGCTGGAAAGTGCGCCTCGGCATCACGTGACTCATGGCTTTGAAGCGCTTTTGAGCCTCCGCGAAGCGCTCAATAATGGACTCCACGGCATCACCGAAGAGGCCGGAGGGAGTCACAGGAGCTTTCAGCAGCACTTTACGGTCAGTATCCTTGAGGTCAGCCAGGTTTAACCATAGGTGCCTCTGAAGGACGACCATAAAACCCATGGCCTTACCCACGGCCTGGGCTGCTCGCTTCGTCGCCGCATGCAGACCCTTATACGGCCTCCACCGTGAGGGCTCCGCCCTCCGCCGCCTGCAGGAGCTTCGCCTGAAAAACCTGCAGCACCGCCATGGCGTGCAGCGACGGTCTCCTCGACGGGGGGATAGTGCACGTACCCGTGGGCCTTCGCCCCATCCACGTGGGAAAAAATGGCCTGTGTAGCAGAGTGGACACGTGCTGATTGGGGCGCAGACCATGTTTTCACCAGCTGCTCATGTACGTCAGGGAAGAAGGGGACCGACACCCTCGAGTCAGCTTTCTGGGTGGACCTGAAATACCAGGAGTTGAGCTTACTCCTCGCAGGCTTCTCTGGAGGACTCCAGGTAAGCTCCAACTCCTGGACAGCCTTCGACAGAACCCTCATGAGCTCCTCCTGGAGGAGCCAGGCAGCCCCATGCTGTCTGGCTGATCGAACTCCGATCCTGCCCAATCCTCCCTCTCCTCATGAACTCCTCCTGGAGGTCTGGGGGCCCCATGCTGTCTGGCTGATCGGACTCCGATCCCGCCCAATCTTCCCTCTCCGAGGCCGAGATGGACATTGTGTCATCCCCCTCCTCCTGGCCAAAGGACACAAACTCCGCGATGTTGGAAGGAGGGTGGAAGCAGTCCTCGGGGAAGGAGGCCGGGGAGCGGGGCGACCGTTGGGGTTGGCGGAGTGGCAAGACTACGCTCCCGTCACCGGGAGGGCCCACAAGCGGCACGCTGGCGGCAGTGGGCCTCACCCCGAATAGGCCGCGAGCCACATCGCGGCGGGTCCGGAGCACGTGGGCCGGCAGGTCCGCGCAATGCCCACAGTCGGACTCGTCCAGCGCCGCCATGGCGTGGGCCAGGCCCAGGCAGGCGACGCAGTGGTCGTGTTGATCCGGTGGCTCGATTGGTCCCACGCAGATCTTGCAGATTGTTGCCATAGTGAATTCAGCAGGTGAAGTAGAAGATTCTGACGTAATTGTCAGGTGCACCGCATTTTATACTGCCTCTCAAGCTCGTCAGTATTTGCATGCGATTCCGTGATGTCTCGTGAAAGCTCGAGAGGGAACGCCAGGTTCACATTACTCCATTTGCAGTGCATATTTTTTCTGCACTCATGTTAACGGAAAGCGTTCACACTGCACGCGGTTGCGGTCCGGCAGTGCGTTCCAGGAGCGGTGCACTGCATTTGCAGCAGTGCAGAGATGTAGAGTTGCTGTATGTGCTGCACACGCTGAATTAAAGTGAAAGCGCATTGTTTTCGGTAAATATGAACATGGATTGACATGAAAATGTAGTAATTACACCATAAATGCATATAATTAAAGTCTACTGTGTTTCACAGTCGACACGTATGGCTGTTTGGCTTGGTTTAACCTTTTCAGTGGTGAGTTTAAAATATTCTAGCGGTCTCCCCAGAGTGAGTTTTTTTTAGGCGACCGTTATTTTAGAACGTTTCCCCTTACTGTTTCCATGGCAACGTGTCATGCTTGTCACGTGACGCACCGCGGCCACAATAACACTGTATGACAGATGGATCGCTTTTATTTCGTTTTTCATTTTTTATTCAAAATATTCATAAAATTGCTTACCATTTCATGAACAATCTGATATTCCGATTCACAAATATGTGTAGTAAATGAGTGTGTTTTGTCATTTAAAAACCTTTTTAAATGATCTTGATCGTGAACTGTAACGTGAGATGGGCGCAGCCATGTTTGTTCACGCTGCAGTTAAGAGAGTCCTGTCAGTCGGATTTACAGCACATGAATTCATCAATTTCTCCCGAAATACATGCAAATAAGTGGCCGGTGAACTGGGAGAAGAATAGAGTGAACTTTATAGTTACTTACACTATGTGTATCTGATATTAATAAAACACGTAGGCAAATTATATTTGAATGGATTGTTATTGCTGTTTCCATAAACATCCGTGTGTATTTTACGAACTTTAAATGTATTGTTTTACTAGTACTTGTATGTATTTACATGTCTGAAACCTAAAATAAACATTATGTGGTTAAAAACACTGCATAGTTGTGATTATATGACAAGTGCAGCGGCGTCTCAGCTTCAGCCAACAATCGTTCTAAATCCCATATGTGGGACTGTACTCCCAGGGGCACGGAAATAAAAATCCCATATGTGGGACCGTACCGCTCAACAGGTTAAAGGAAAAGAGCACCTTTAGATAAACAAGGCAATAGATGGCACTCGTGGAGGTAGGAAAACAAAGTTCTTTATGAACTGCGGGATTGCTTGTAATAAAGATTTAAATGCAAAGGTAAAGGCAGTAGAGCTGACTGTTTCTGTCAATGGTAAGTTTTAATTTAGAATGTTTGTAGTTTAAGTGATTTGCCACTTTCTTGAGCAACTTAATATACAAATCTAGAAGGTAATGCAAATGTAAAAAGCATTGAATGTGTTGCTTATATTTATTGTTTAAACACTTCTATGAAAGATTGTATTACTGTACTGTGTAAAAAAAACAAATCACAATGCTGAAAAAGCATTTTCAGTAACAATGTTTGAATTTGAAATAGAAATAATGGATAAATGTTGTGTTTGTGGTAAACTCCATGGATCGGACTCCTCTGTGAAAGTGCAATGAGCACCTGCTGCTTCTGCACCACTTACATACCGCACATGTACTGTATATGCACTGCAAACGGAGTATGTGTGAAATTATACTGGAGTAAAAGGCTGCCTCAGATATAGCTCACGAAATCAGGCTTGTGCTAAGCTATTGTGCAACAATTGCACAATTGTAAAAACAAAAATGCACTGCATGATCAAACATTTAGGTGAGATAAATATATATTTTTGAAAAATGCCTAAAAAATGCCCCCCTCGACCACTCAAATTAAAAAATGCCCCTCACAAGAGTCACTTAAGAGGGGAATTCCCCCTTTTCAAAAATGTAATTCAAGCCTTGAATAAATGTCTGAAAATCCTGATTGGATTATCACTATAAATAATTCTACATGATAAAAAGAAGGCTTTAAAAAGATCGGTATCGCTGATCGTATCGGCAGATACTGCTTTCTGTGATCGGCAATCGGTGATCGGCTTCAAAAATCCTGATCGGAGCACCCCTACTTGAAGCTGTCCAAAATATCACAAGAAAGAAACATCTGAATTTTTGATTGTAGCTATATTAGTCACAACATTGCTGAACTAAATTTGATGTGTGTGTGTTTTTTTTCTTCTTTCAGATTGTACAGTATAATTTATATGAAATTCCTCTCTTCATTATCATGGGAGCTTTAGGTGAGGGGAACGTCACTTTGTCCTTGCATAAAACATTATAATAATCTTCCGTTTACAAAATTAAAATGAAAGGATGTAGCTTTGAATTATTTATCTTTTTTTCCCTTACATTTTCCAGGAGGGGTGCTTGGAGCATTGTTCAATATCATCAATTATTGGCTAACAATTTTCAGAATAAGGTAGGATTGCAAGCTATTAAATAGGGAAGGTCATGTGTAATATGTATGGCGTTCATTTAGGTCCAAATCGTTTTTTGGAAAAATCTAAATTTTGTATAATGGGAAAAACTACTATTAGTTCAATGCGTCTAATCTGTATTTTGTCCACTTTAAATCTTTTTTTGACAGTAGGTTAGACAGTTTGCTAAATGACTGGTCAGATTTGTAGGTTTTGTCACTGAATAGCTGTATTACTGAGCAGAAGCAGATGGAATGAGTCTGAAGACTTTTACACATCAATCACTTGTCATGTGACAATTTTCTGGGTTATGCCCGCATGTTAAACACTTCTTGCATCAAAGCAATAAATTACATTTTTTTAAATGTATTCAAATAGGAAAAACATTATTTTAAATTGTAATATTTCAGAATATTGCTGTTTTTATTTTTTATTTTTTTGTAACATTTTAAAAAATCTTGCCGACCCGACCCCAAACTTTTGAATGGTAGTGTATGTATATATTTTTTTTAATTTTGTGCTACAATCATTCTTTCTTTCTTTCTTCTTTCTTTCTTTCATTCTTTCTTCCTTCCTTCTTTCCTTCTGTCTTTCTTTCTTTCTTTCTTCTATTTTGACACAAAAAAAGCATTGGCTTTTAAGATTTTCACATGTTGTGTTATGTCTCAGGTACATCCACCGGCCGTGCCTGCAGGTGATGGAGGCTATGCTGGTTGCCGCGGTGACCGCTACTGTTTCCTTTGCTATGATCTATTTCTCCAATGACTGCCAGCCACTGGGACAGGACAACACTGAGGAATATCCCTTACAGGTGTTTATATACTTCCTGGGCTTTCAAGATGTTTGCTTAAATGATAAATTGCTAAGCTGAACTGATCTTGGATCAGAACATAGTCTGAAATGCCAAACAGAAGCGCGATTTGTTATATTGTTCATTTACAGCTCTTCTGTGCTGATGGTGAATATAATTCCATGGCCACCGCCTTCTTCAACACCCCTGAGCGGAGTGTGAGGAGTCTGTTCCACAATCCTCCAGGTGTGTCTCACTGAGGGAGTGGTTGGGTGTTGACGGGTTTGGGAATGTGTGTGGACATCTTATCGAACCTGCAATCGAAACATCAAGACTTCAAACACTTCTTCAGTTGCTTCGCGGTGTATCTGCATGTTTTTTTAGCCTGTGTGTTTGCATGCATGTGTCTGTCAAAGCAGATTTAGAGTTACAAGCTGGTACTTCTTCAGTTGCTACGCGGTGTATCTGCATGTTTTTTAGCCTGTGTGTTTGCATGCATGTGTCTGTCAAAGCAGATTTAGAGTTACAAGCTGGAAGCAGGCCAGCTGACAGGCAGCTAAAATCTTTCTATGCTCTGGAGAGAAGCCATCTTTGATTGCTTTCCCAGAGTGCACAAGAGTCAGTCCACAGCCACTGGATTGAAACAAGAAAAATCACAAATAACAAGTGGCCAAAGTTTATCATGACCATTTTTGGTCTTTAAATATGGCAAGTTGTTAATTCATTATAATGTAATATATTATTCAATTATTTCCTAAAATCATAATTATATGATTTTTTAAAATATGATTAATATTTTAATTACATTATGTATTTGATATGGTTTTAATATTATGTCTCTGCTAGTGTCCTTATACTGCCCCCTAGAGCTGGAATGCTTAATAGTATGCTAAAAACAGATGTTTACTTTACTACAGATTGTGCAGGGTTGTGTATTAATGTCTTTTACATGTACATTTAGGGCATGTAGAAGATACTCTCATCCAAGGTAATGCTCCAACAGTGTTTTAGCTTCACTTATTAGGGGCCATTCACATAGAATGTGTTTTTGCTTTGAAAAATGCAAGATGTGGGCAGTGGAATAATTGGGGGGGGGGGG